TTCCACTGGGCGGTGTATCCGGTTTTAGGGCCTTTTCCCCTGGGCGGGGTTTAAACCGGTCTAGGACCTTCCACTGGGCGGTGTATCCGGTCTAGGACCACGGCTGGAGGGTCACCTTTTCACACCTAGGTGTTACTTCCGGTTTTGACCCTGACCTCGCCCCCGAGACTACCTCACCCTTGACCCCCCAACCATACCCCGCCCACGACCCCCCCCCCTTTTGCGACCCTCCCCTTCGCGCCGCGCCCGCGCGCCCGCCCGCGCGCCCGCCCGCGCGCCCGCCCGCGCCCTTCGCGACCCGCGCCCGCGCCTTCTGCTGCGCCTTCGCTGCGTCGTCCGGATCGCCCCCCCGCCTCGAATTTTTTTTCTTATGATCTCCTTGGGTTCAAGGTTTTTGGATTCCCCCCTATGGGGTTTTTTCGAAATTTCCATCTCCTTGGATCAAAGGTTTTTTGGGTACCCCTCCTTCCAACCCCCCACCCCCCCAATCCCAAAAATTTCTCAATATTACCAAGTTTTTGGATTCCCCCTATGGGGGTTTTCGAAATTCTCCAATTCCTCGGATCAAGTTTTTGGATTCCCCCCTATGGGGTTTTCGAAATTCTCCATCTCCTCGGATCAAGTTTTTGGATTTCCCCCTATGGGGTTTTCGAAATTCTCCAATTCCTCGGATCAAGTTTTTGGAATCCCCCTCTGGGTATAAGCATTAAAAATGACTCCCCTATGGGGGCATGCTTACTACAGGTCTAAACACTTCCCTTATTATTTTAATGAACTAAAAGTTCCTCTCATTAGTTTAATGAACTAAAAAAAGCGTGTTTACTCGGCGGTCAGTGACGTCACGTGTTGACCCAGCAAAGGTTAATTTTTCAGTCGCCCTGAAGCAGTGGACGAACGCAACAGGCGAATTCTGTGGGATCCTTTTAGTTAAATAAGGGGTAACATGTTGTGACCACCACATACAACCAATCATTCGATCCCCTTTTTAGTATCATTAATTATATAATGGGATATATATATATAATTATAGGGAAATATATTTATCATTTTCACAAAGCGTTTCAGGATTAGCCTTACACTTTGTTCTTTAGGCTTATTTATTATACAGCATAACCATCACTCTTATCGTCTAGGTTTAGAGGTGGGGGTATTTAAATGGGTGTCCCTTTTAATGCCGCCGATTCATTGATCCCCAACCATACCCCCTTCACACGACACCCCCTCTTTTCCTACCGACATTCCCTTTCGCTACTGCTCCCGTGTTTCCCTCCGCTTGATAACCTTCAACGTGGCCCGTTATCGGCCTAATTGCGACGGATCCGCTGCTTCTGCTGGACTGTGGTGTGATCTTCCAGCACCTTCGAATTTTTAGCTTTCAGATCTCCTTGCTAATTTTTGGATTCCCACATTTGGGTTTCAAAATCCCATCTCCTTGTTCTAGGTTTTTTAGGGATACCACTCATTTCCAAAAATCCATATAACCAAAAAATTGTCTCAATTTTTAACCGGTTTTTACCCTATGGTTTCAAATTTCCAATTCTCGGAAATTTATCGATTCCCCCCTATGGGGTATACAGAAATTTTACCATCATCCCATAATTTGGATTTCCCCTAAGGGATTTTTCCAAAATTTCCAATTTCGGTTTTTTTGAATCTCGAAGCATTGAAAACAGATCAAGGTGGTTGCTTAACTTCTAATATATTCCTTTATTGAAGGGCAAAACTTTCTCTCATTAATTAAATGATAAAGCTGTTTTTTTAAAAAGGATCTTTGACCCCAAAAATGCTTTCTCATTATGTCATACGTAACCGGGCTAATCTTGTAATATTAAAGGGAAAATAGTAGTGGTCCAATACAGGCGTTATCTTTAGTTCATTTGAAGTTAATTAAGGGGGACCATAATCTTAGGAACTTTCTCATGGCAACATTTAGGATAATAAGTTCTAAAAATTTTTTTTTATCATATTTATTATACAAGCTTACACCTCTATCCCTAGTTCCAGTTAATAACTGTAACAAGTTCTTAGTATTAAAATATTTTTCGATAAAGACTGCAAAAACCTACTTTATTAGATTTTACGGTCTTTTACCTTTTTTTCTTATAGACTTCACAAGGAGATAATCATCTCTTCATGATAAACATTCATATTTTGATGTGTTAATAGGTAATTGTCAGGAACCTAGCTAGCTCGCTGAATTGTGTCTTCGTATCACAATACATTTCTTCGGGTATCAACTCTATTGGTCCCTTCACAGAACATTTCATAACCCACATCTACGATACATTTTCTCAGGGATAATTTTTGAACCATTCTTACAAGGTTAAACATTCAACTAGCTGTACAAACAATTTCAAAGCTAAATATGGGAATATAGTGCGGTCATAAAGTCTTCAACATCAATAATTTGTTTAATTATTGCATTATCATGTCTTTAGCTACTGAATTAATTGCCGAGTAAACCTACCTCTAAATTCTTTTTAATTGCAAATCATCTAATTTATGGGAATATATTTATCAATCTTTACATTAGTTTTCAATATTGAATATCTTTTTCCCAATTTGAATATTCGCAAATCCTATATTAAATTATTAATTTGAACTTTGACTAAGGACATCTTGTAGTGTTTTATGCCACTATTAGGAATGAGCTACAAAACATTTGTCTTGTAATATAACATAAGGTAAACCTTTTACATTTAACCCAATTTCCAACTAATAATGTTCATAATTCTAGACTGATCAGATATTTTTCTGAAAATTAAAAAGATGATCTATTACATTAATTTGGTCTTTCATCGACTTCTTTTTCAATATAATTAAAATAAGAGATAAATTGTTTTCTTTACATATTAAATATTAAGGAAGTCATCATGGTCTAGCACAAATCGTGTTTACACATTATAGTCCCTTTTTCTCAGTATTATTTCAAGGGATTCTTCTCGCCTTGGGATATTTTCTGCATAACGGGGAAAAGAGTCCATCAATAAAGAGATTGAAATCTAGAATAAACTATACCCATCCACTTTCAAAATTCAATTTGGTTTAATGGATTTCAACGTTAATTTATAACATTAATTGCCTGTAAAATTAATTCCTTTTAAATTAATCATAAAAATTCATGAATTTCTTCTCTCTTGTCTTTAATAGGAATGCATCGTCACAATATGGTACACTTATATAATTACTAAAATTTAAATATTCCTTGGTGTTTTTATCGCCACTTGGGGTTTTTTGAAGGTTATACACATAATCTCAAAGTTTCATTTACCAAGTCAAATGTCTCATGTCTAAATCTCCTTGCTGTATAGCGTATTTCAAGATTAAAACTGTCTTTAAACTTTTATTTTGTTTCATCAGCATTTTAACATCTAAAATGAAAATTGATTAATAAGGCATCCTCGCCCTTTAGAACTCTTTATTACCACGGATTTCCCTTTTGCGTTATATGTTGATTGCTAACGTGGCAATGGCTTTAAATGAGAGTGACCTGAATTTACCTCTTTGAGTTTGTTTTTGTTCGAATGAATTTCCTAATTATCAAATACAACCTTAAATTTATTCTTGAATTGCGTTATTACAAAATTTTCAATGTTCTGTTTTCCTCTTCCGGTGCACATACGATAAATTATTAAAATTTTTACATCATGGTCTGGGTTTAATCTTCCTGTGTTTTTGAAGTTACCACATAATTCACAGTGTTCTTAATCATGTCCTTCTTACCCGTTCCTACATACCGGTTCAAAATCTTATTAAACCATATGTTTTCCCATTCACAATAACAAAAATAAATGTTAACATTTCTTATACCCTTTATACACACATAGCGATAAATGTAATATCAATGGAATGTTTTTAATTGAGAACAATTTAATGACCTGAAAGTTGTTCTTCACATTCTAAATCTAACTTTCACCGTAATTCGGGAAATCATCTATAAAGGTATTTTTTGCATGATTAAACACCTCTCGTGGGTATCTAACTCTCCTGTGCAATTATCAAACAACAGGGCATGTTCTTTATCTTTGATCCATACACGTCTAACAAAACCGTCATTAATCTCTGGATTAAAACATATTCTTCTTCACTACCCCAGTTTTTTTCGATATGCCACTTAGACCACATTGCTCTAATTCCTATTTAACCTTTCTTACTGAAAATCATTTGACACTTTATTTCTCCAGATCCTCTATCACTTGGAAATCTCTATAGAGTTTTCTAATTTATTTTCCTACATATAAATGCTTCGGAATTTCCTCTTCATTACTGATACTCAAAACGCAAATTACACAAATTTCCATTTGATCATTCACCCGCATTTGGGGTTTTTTGACTCGAATTTCTTTAACAAAATTGGTGGATTCTGATCGATGATCGCTAGATCCTCGATCTTCATACATACTCGTATCTTTCTATAAATAATCCCAAAACATGATAAATACATTCTTAACTTTCTTTATATAATGAAAACACTAAAATTTACTCACTTGTTTTTGTCTACCTCGAAAAGTTCTGGTAATATCCTAATAACTTCATGGGGGTTCTGCACTTCGCTATTATGCGTGTCAGACAACTCTTTGTCGATATAATTTACTGTATCATCATCCTGTTAAGTGGGAAACACTATATTTCCTCACTGACTACCTCTAAATTTGGATGTACAAACTTCTGGGCACTCTCTTCACCAAGCGTGCAGACAGTATGCAGGTGTTTTCCTCTCAGAGGGGAGAAATAGCACATCCATTCATATACCAAAAACATACACAAGCTTTTCGACATTAACTCCAGTGAATTTCTGGGGTAAAAGCCCCTCACAATTTATCCCCATAATAATTTTTAAGATTTCAATGAACAGAGGAAAAAAAAAGCACATCCAATTCATAACCCAAAATATTAAGATTTCAATGAATAGAACAAAAAATCTTTTCTCGAGTGACTAGCACAACAAAAGATCACAAATTGGTTACATACCTGTTTCTATAGCCTTCTTCCATAAAGCATCTACACGTGCCCACTCATTATCCAATTGCAATAACCTTTCATTGCGTTGTACACCGCCTTTCTCGATTACCAACGAACGCTGCTTTCTAATCGATAATCTTCTCTTCACCAATGCTTCCAAGTATTTCGAATATATGCTATCCCCTGTTAAGAATTTCACTTATTTAACACACTAACCCAGTAAAAATTTCACTCGTATGCTTCAACAAAAATTAAACATGTAAAAAAAACAAGAATTTTCTAACAATCTCCTCTTCACCAATTCACTTATTTAACACATTAACCCATTAAAAATTTCACTTATTAACGCACTAACCCAGTAAACATTTCACTCGTATGCTTCAACAAAAATTAACCCAAATTTCACTCGTATGCTTCAACAAAAATTAAACATGCAAAAAAAACAAGAATTTTCTAAGTATAACTTACCTTTCTCCATGTTGTGCGGTTCAGCGTTGGAAGATGAGGTCCTTTAACTTAATGAGAGGAATACTGTGGGGGGAAGATGAGGTCAATCACGGATGATGGATGGAAGCACTGTCCTCGCTCTGAGTGTCTCATTGAGCTTATATAGGCCGCCCCCTCCCCCCGACACCAATGTATAATGCGGTTCACACCTAAGGTAGATTTAAGATAATCATCGCCTTACCGAACACCTGGGTCAACACAGGTCAGACAGACAGCATGATATGCGGTTCAGCGTTGGAAGATGAGGTCCTTTAACTTAATGAGAGGAAACTTTTAGTTCATTTTAAAATAATAAGGGGAAAGATGAGGTCAGTCACGGATGGAAGCACTGTCCTCACTCTGAGAGACTCATTGTGGGTCACCCCTTCCCCCAACACATGGTGTAATGCGGTTCACACCCAAGGTAGAACATAACACCTGCGTCAACTCAGGACAGACAGGCGCCATGAAATGCGGTTCACACCCAAGGTAGATTTAAGATAATCATGAACACCTGGGTCAATCGCCACCCTAAAGCAACTAATTTTGGTGAGGCAGTCCTGCTCCACATTAACTGTGTCCCCTTATTGAACTAAAAGTATTATATATCTTGAAAACCCATTAAGACTTACAGTGTACAAGACGCCTCTCTATGGTAAACACCCTTTTTAGTTCATTCAACTTAAAGAGAGGAAGCTTTTAGATCATTTTAAAATAATAAGGGGAAGATGTTGAACTTGTCAACATACACATCTGCTGACGTTGATATATTTCGTTATCCATCAAGGATTATCATTGCCGGTTATTCGAATAGTGGCAAATCTTATTTCACATCAAAATTAATAAAGTTATACCACGAGAAATTTCATAACATTATAATATGCGGGGTGACATCACATCCCTTAGAACAAGATTCAGAGATAACTCATAAATTAACATTAAGTAACGATATTATCGACCCGCAGAATGTCATTGCATCACCTGATGAAAATACAATAATTATTGTTGATGATCTATTTTTAAAAGCAGGTAACAGTGAAATTATTCTCGAATGTTTTACTAAAGGTAGACATCATAATATAAGCATTATTCTGATTACTCAAAATATATTTCACGGAGGACGATATAGTCGTACCATGGCTTTAAAACGCCACGCATTTTGCTTTATTTAAAATGAGGGATCTTGGACAAGTAGAGATTCTGGGGCGACAAGTGTTCGGAAAAAATAAGGAATTGTAAATATATATAAATCTGCTATAAAACGATCACCCTTTGGTTATTTATTCATAGACCTTGCATTAAATACACCAGAAGCATTACAGTTGCGAACCAATGTGTTACGGCGGGATTCCTACGAAATTGTATACCAATGGAGCGAGCAAAATTAATTGAAAAGGTTTATAGAGATCCTGGATCTGCTGGGTCATTCTCTGGGGTAACAGTTTATATACAGCTGTAAAAAAGATTGATCCGTCCATAACCTTGAAAGAGGTCAGAAATTTCTTAATTCAGAAAGATCATATACTTTATACGTTCTTAAACCTAAGAAGTTTCCTCGTAGGAAAATATTGCTCCTAAACCCAGAGTGATATTAACCTGTGATTTGGGTGATATGTCTAAATTATCCAGATATAATGATGGATATAAATACATTCTCGTGTGTATCGATGTTTTTTCAAGATATTTGCAAGCAGTACTCATGAAAAAGAAAGACGGACCGAGCACTTTACATGCATTACAAAACATATTGGAGAATGAAAAGGCGAAGAATATATCGAGATTATTTACAGATAAAGGCAGGGAGTTTCTAAATAAACAGGTACAGAATTATCTCCAGAGTAAGCATATAAAGTTATATCATGTATTTTCGAAAGAAACAAAAGCTTCCATTGCAGAGAGAGGCTTGCAAACGATGAAACGTAAATTATACAAGTATATGACAAGTGCCAATACATTTAATTATTCAAAAGTGTTAAATGAATTAGTAGATGCGTATAATTCATCTCCGCACTCGGGGATTGGCGGTAAAACCCATTGCAAGTCCATGGTATTACGTCATTGAATGATATAAGGAATCAGTTTCGGATAAATTATAAAAATGGAAGATCCAATAAGAAACGAATCAGTAAGAAATTGGCTGTTGGAGACACAACAAGAGTGACTCTTAGCAGATCATCCGCGTTTAACCGAGGGTTTCACACACAAAATACAGAGGAAATATTTAAAATATATAGAATTAATAATTCTCAACTATAACAACATATCATTTGAAAGATTTGAAAGGTGAAAAGATTAAAGGAATATTTTATCGCGAAGAATTGACCCCAGCCATACCACCTCCAGAATATATTATCGACAGAGTATTGAAACGAAAAAAATTGGTGGAATTACGCATTATTTGGTATCTTATAAAGGTTATGATTCCACTTTTAATTCGTGGGTCAAAGAAGGAGATTTGTTGAAGGTACAATGAAAAAATCATTATTAGAAAAATTTAAAGAATTAATTACATTACTTAATAGTCTCCCACGCAATCATCGGAAGAGTTTATTACAACAGTTTAAGAAAACGCACATAAGTTGTATCAGTGAGATTTTCAAGAATTTGATTAAGAATAAAATACCATTAGACCCTAAAATATTTAAAAAGTACAAGAACGAGATTAAATCATTAGCTTGTAAGAAAATCGGTTTTCAGCGTAAAAAGAAATATTTGCTGAGTATCAGAGGTGGAAATCTTCTTGGCATTATATTACCTCTAGCAGTAAATATTATTTCGAGATTATTTAATAAATCATGAAAGAATTTTATCTTGTACCAACTTCAGTTATGAATCGGAAACCTCTCGAGTTAGTAAAATCGGAGGGTGACGAGAATTTAGAAGGGGGTGGTGGTGGTGCATGCTTGAAGCGTGGTGTTAAACGCAAGTTTAAGACTACTCCCGCTAGGCAGGTCAACCCACCTGCTCTCACCTCGGTGAAACCTCAGAAAACCCCAGATTTGTCAAGATTCATGCACATAAGAGTGAGTGCGAGAAATATAGAATATGTGAAATCAATGTTGGTATTATTGCAAAGAAATCCTTTGGTGAGTTGGGATGAGAATGGTGACCTTCTTACCCCCATTACTGGACGTAATATTATTGAAATATTAAATGTTTTATCAGAAAATAATGTGAAATCAGCGAGAAGAATCGATTCTGATTACTTAACAGAAATAAAGCATTTATTAAATATAACAGGTATACATTTTGATTTTGTGAGGAATACAAAAGTGAGAAAACAATTATTACATAAAGGAGGCGGTGTAAGAAGAGAAACATCGTGGATATCATATTAGGTGAGTATATAAACTCTGTGATGTTATGTTTTTATTTAGTGTGTGTTATAAGAGTGTGGAGATGGCTGAACGTCTTCTATACGTCTGTAGCGATTCAAGTCTCGATTTATTTCCCGCCAATACACCTTCGGCTTTCATTAATAAATTATATGACCCCATTATATTAGATAATAAAATTGATTATGAGGTTGCTCTGAAAAAATTTAAATTTTCCCCAAGACGCATTATATACCGCAAAAGAATTTGAAGATATGTATTACATATGAGAAATCTACAGTAAATAAATATATGCATAAAATTGATATGAGCAAAATTATTGGAGGTGATATGACAAGGATTTTAGAGGCAATAAATGAGGATATTAATGCAAATCTCTTAATAGCAGTTAAACATACAACGGGTATTATCATCCCCAAAACTCAATTGTGTTCACATATCATCCAGAATAAACAGAGTGGTTATTAACTTGAAAAAAAAAAATTATATTACCTTCTGATATTACCAGTGTTATGTGGGGTTGGAATTTGATAAAGAAGGAAGCGATTGCTAGGGTTCTCAGGTAATGAAATTTTGTATGTCTTTACCAATAAAAAAGAGATTATTTTTAACGAGTCTGGTGTGAAGGCGGTAAACCCACCGATCCTGAATCAGGTATTAATTATATGTTAATATATAGTGATTTGATTGATCCCATTAATTTTGGCGATCAGTTAGTATCTCTTTTGGGAGTAGTTGATATTAATACATTAAGATCTAATTATGATCCACAATGTACAAACCACTTAATAAAAAGATAATTGATCAAGTGAGTATTAAGCTCGCTGATCAGAAAGGAAGGTTAATTCAATATAATGACAAGTGTTCTACTGTATGTGTACTACATTTAAGACCTATAAAACGAGAGTAATGATCAAGTTGAGTTAATATTGAACGAACCGTCAAGATGAGAACCAGTTTCTCTCCTCCTTCAGTGGAATCATTCCTGAAACTCTTTGATACTTCGAGGGTGAAAGGGCAGGTTTAGATGATATCATATTATATTAAAGCTAGAGGGAGGGGCGGAGGATTATTTGTCATTTCTCGGTGGGATGGCCAGAAAGCATTACCATTCTTATTGAATACCTTTGCTCCGGGAGTATTACAATACGGGCAAAATGTGTTGAACGATGTTAATAATGGTATTGCATTGAAAAATTCTGCGAGAAATAGAGGTGTAGAAACATTGAAGGGTGTCGGACAGAAGTTATTATCCGGAGGAAGTAGAAAGATTGGTTTGAAACGATTGAATTTAATAATAAAAGAAACTGGAATATTTAATTAATTTTAGTTTATTGTTAACTATCCTATTGTTAGTATGTCGGCTGGTGCTCTATACGTTACACCAGGGGGACTCAACGCCCCCGTCCCCACTTATTCTCATTCCATAACTGATGGATTCCCAAAATTACCAGGACACACCATTATTGAATCCTCAATAGCAGCTAGACGCACATGTGAAGTATTACCAGTAAATCAAGGATCTGATAAATTTCTCGAATTTAGAATACAAAGTTCAGAAGGTCATTTTTTAGATTTAACGAGTTGGCCTTGGAAATGAACATAAATATAACAAATGAGGATGGGAGTGCATTGGGAGATGATGATGAGGTCATATTTGTGAACTCTATAAGTCAGACAATATTCAAATCTGTGTGTTTGTATCTCAATGAACAACTTATAGAATCGAATCCATTTTATTCATATACGGGTTATATTAAACTGCTTAAGCATTTATTCCCCATCAAAATTAGATACATTGGGAAGAATAGCATTCTTTCGTAATAATAGACACAGCAAGTAGTACTATTACAACAGCTGATTTAGATGATATTAAGAAAGACGAAGGTAAATTAACGAATGAAGTGAATACTTGTTTCCCTTTGATGCTGGATGTGAGTAGTTTTCACGAATATATCCTGGATAGTGTCGAATGTCGATTGAGACTTGAAATGCATTCACCGCATGGGTAATTATGACTCCATTAAGCGGAAAAACATATAAATATAATATTAATTCCATTAAATTATGGATCGATAAAGTTATTCCGTATACGAATGCATTAATTGCATTGAATTCAAGCATGAGGGCAAACCCGCAGGGGTGTGAATATCTGTTCAAGAAGACATTATTTAAATCATATATTCTGGCATCTAATCAAACACAATTGATCGCAGATAATTTCCTTGGGGACAAGTCATACCCGATAAGATATTTATTATATTAGTTGATATGAAGACATATGATGGAGGATATAATTTTAATCCATTATATTTTCAACATGAAGATTGAATCATTTCGGGGTTTACAATTAATTCAGAAATGATTCTTAATATTGACTGTAAGTTTCCTACACATGCGAGTAGGTTATATTACGCTACCTTGAAATCTCTGGGTTTGGAGACTGATCATCTGATTACATATAAGAGTTTTCTCCAAGGCAGAACTATATTAGGTGTTGACCTGAGAAGTGAACAGGTTAAGAATGCTATATCTGTCGAGAAGAATGGTAATTTGAGAATAGATATGACATTTGGTAAACCGAAAGATGAGAATAGAATTTGTCTGATGTTTGGTGAAACTAATGCGATTTTAAATATAAATGAAAATAGAACAGTGATAGTGCATACGCGAGTATAGATCATGAATTGTGAAGAAATAAATATTGCCTTGAAACATCATACGGGAAGATACGCCTCGTATTTGTGATGTTTTGCCGCAAATAATATAAATGAAGTTATTATGAGGATAAAAGATAAGCCGGTAATTTTCATCATTAATATATTGAACGAACAAGATGAAAATATGGGTCATTGGATTACTATATATGTGAACAAACACATATTATTATATTTAGATAGTTTCGGGGTGGATTTAAAACATTATACAAATATATATGAGAAAATTATATACAAGAGAAATTTCATGTACGGTATTAATCAGAGGATTCAACATGAAAAATCATTGTTGTGCGGCTTATATGCTATATATTTTGTGTATAAGTTAACAAATTATAGTGTAAAGAAAATTATACCATATTTGTTTAAAGATTTTGGTAGAAATAAATTAAAGAATGACCAATTTATAATGAAATATGCATATGAGCATTTCAATATACCCTCATGTTCAAGTGTATTTGCTAATAATTCAACGTGGAATTATGAAAATCTGTGTAAAATATTGGAATTATAATACGGTGGGGTAGAGGCGTTTAGAGGCGAGGCGAAAGGTTAGAGGCGGGGCGAAAAGGTCATAACGCTGCTATAAATGCCCGTGCTGGGTCACTCTTTGCATCTACTGTCATTCAAGTTGGGTCAAGGATGAATCCAATTCAGTACTCCGTTGGAGGTGTCTGCGAGGAGGAGAGAAGACTGCATCCCTGTGTATGTCGGAATAATCCACCTGCGGTAAATGGTAAGTGATTTTTGTTCATTATCTGAGTGAATCTTGTTCTAATATTGAAAAAAAAAAACTTTTTACACATAAATGATTTTAGAAGTGTAATGTATTAACCAATAAAACTTTTTAATGCAATTAAAGATATGCCTTATTCTTCTTCTAATCGAGAAAATTTTTTCTTTGCCAGATGCGAATATAATGCGGTTGTTGGAACTTATTCGCGCAAATCAAATCCGACAGGAGCAAATGATTTGCGAGTTGATGGGATTGTTAGGAGCGAGATCCACCCAGCCTCCTACCCATCCATATGGAGATGCTGTTGCTACCCCTCCTACCAACGAGACTTCTCCCCGACCTCATGTGGATGTTGAGACTGTGCCTCCTACTCAGGTGGTTGATGTTAGCGCTTTTATCCAGGATATTGTAACTCCTACCCACGCCGAGATCGACCCTTCTCCCCAGTCTCATATGAGTGGGAGAATGTGTTAGTAGTTGTTATTGCGATAAATGCGTATGGAGCGAGATGGAATATTTTATGACAAATTCCCAACCTAATTCATGTATGGATGAGGATTCCCCCATAAATTATCCGTCAGCTTCCCCCATAAATTATCCACCAGCTTCCCCGGATGAGGATTCCCCCATTTATTATCCACCAGCTTCCCCCCCAGAAGTTTATTGTATAACAGATGAGGAAGAAGACGACGACCCTGAACAAAATGCACAGAAATTCTACAAGAGAAGAAAAATTACTCTACGTTGATTTTAGTCAATGAATTGTAGCTTTTTTCAATGAAATTGTATTTGTTTGTATTACCAGAAATGTAATGGCTGTATAATAAATAATGAAAAAAAAAATATTGTGTATTAGTGTTATCCTGAAATGTGTCTTTCTGATGATGAAAATGTTTTCACTATGATGTATATGTGTCCCCTTATTAACTTGAATGAACTGAAAGGATCGACATGATTCAGCTTGTATGTGTGACGTCACTACTATGGCCCCTTATTAACTAAAAGGATCGACAAGATTCAGCCTGTGTGCGCGTGACGTCACCCGAACCGCCGAGTGGATAAACACGCTTTTTTAGTTCATTTAACTTAATGAGAGGAAACTTTTAGTTCATTTTAAAATAATAAGGGGAAGATGTTTAGACCTGTAGTAAGCATGCCCCCATAGGAGGAGTCTATTTTGAATGCTTATACCCAGAGGGGGGATTCCAAAAACTTGATCCGAGGAATTGGAGAATTTCGAAAACCCCATAGGGGGGAATCCAAAAAAAACTTGATCCAAGGAGAATTTCGAAAACCCCATAGGGGGGAATCCAAAAAAAAAACTTGATCCAAGGAGATGGAGAATTTCGAAAACCCCATAGGGGGGATCCAAAAAACTTGATCCGAGGAGATGGAGTCATGGTATTGTCGAGAAATTTTGAGATGAGGGTGAAAGTGGGAGGGGGATCCGAGGAAGTGGAGACTTTGATATTGAGAAATTTTGGGATGGGGGTGAAAGTGGGAGGGGGAACCTTAAAAACTTGATCCGAGGAGATGGAGAGCACAAGAAAATGAAATTCAAAAAAAATTCGAAACCCCATAGGGGGGAATCCAAAAACCTGGATCCAAGGAGATCATAAGGAAAAAAAATTCGAGGCGCGGGGGCGATCCGGATGACGCTGCAGAAGGCGCAGCAGAAGGCGCGGGCGGGGGTCGCGAGGGCGCGGGCGGGCGCGCGCGGGCGGGGCGCGGCGCGAACGGGGGGTCGCGAAGGGGGGGGGGTCGTGGGCGGGGGTATTGGTTGGGGGGGTCAAGGGTGAGGTAGTCTCGAGGGCGAGGTCAAGGTCAAACCGGAAGTAACACCTAGGTGTGAAAAGGTGACCCTCCAGCCGCTGGTCCTAGACCGGATACACCGCCCAGCCGCACCCCCTAAACCGGATACACCGCCCAGCCGCACCCGCTAAAACCGGATACACCGCCCAGCCGCACCCCCTAAAACCGGATACACCGCCCAGCCGCTTTTTTGACTACTGATATATGAAAGGGAAACCCGTCCAGATCGATGAAATATGACAGGAAAGCCCGTCCAAAACAATGAAATATGAGAAGGAAACCCGCACGGAACAAGGAAAAATGAGAATGAAACCCGTAAAGAACAATGAAATATAAGAACAAAACCCGTAAAGAACAATGAAATATGAGAACGAAACCCATCAAGAACAATGAAATATGAGAAGGAAACCCGTCCAGAACAATGAAATATGGCCGGGAAACCCGGCCAGAACAATGAAATATGACAGGGAAACCCGTCAAGAAGAAAGAAAGATGAGAAGAAAACTCTTCAAGAACTATGAAATATGACAGGGAAACCCGTCCAGAACAATGAAATGTGACAGAGCAACCCGTTTAAAAGAAAGAAATATGATAGGTAAACGCGTGCAGAACAATGCAATATGACAGGGAAACCGTTCAGAACAATGAAATAAGGCAGGGAAACCTCTCCAGAGCAATGAAATATCAGAAGGAAACCCGTCCAGAAGAATGAAATGTGACAGGGAAACCAGTCAAGAACAATGAAATATGACAGGGAAACCCGTCCAGAACAATGAAATATGAGAAGGAAAAAACGTCCAGTAACAATGAATATAGAAAGTTAAATCAGGGAAACCCGTCCAGAACAATGAAACATGACAGGGAAACCCGTCCATTACAATGAAATATGACAGGGAAACCGGTCCAGAACATTGAAATAAGACAGGGAAACCCGTCCAGAACAATGAAATATGAAAAGGAAACCCGTCCAGAACCATGATATATGACAAGGAAACCCGTCCAGAACAATGAAATATGACAGGGGAAACCAGTCCAGAGCAATGATATATGAAAGGGAAACCCGTCCAGAACGATGAAATATGACAGGAAAACCCGTCCAGAACAAGGAAATATGAGAACGAAACCCGTAAAGAACAATGAAATATGAGAACGAAACCCATCAAGAACAATGAAATATGAGAAGGAAACCCGTCCAGAACAATGAAATATGACCGCGAAACCCGTCCAGAACAATGAAATATGAGAAGGAAACCCGTCAAGAACATTGAAAAATGAGAAGGAAACCCGTCCAGAACAATGAAACATGAGAGGGAAACCCGTCCAAAACAATGAGATATAAGAGGGAAACGCGTCCAGAACAACGAAATATGACAGGGAAACCGGTCCAGAACAATGAAATATCACAGGGAAACCCGTCCAGAACAATGAAATTTGAGAATAAAACCCGTCCAGAACCATTATATATGACAAGGAAACCTGTCCAGAACAATGAAATACGACAGGGAAACCCATCCAGAACAATGAAATATGAGAAGGAAACCCGTCCAGAACAAGGAAATATGAGAATGAAACCAGTTAAGAACAAAGAAATATGACTAAGAAACCCGTCCAGAACAACGAAATATGAGAGGGAAACCCGTCCCTAACAATGAAATATGAGAAGGAAACCAGTCCAGAACGATGAAGTATGAGAGGGAAACCCATCCACAAGAATGAAATATGACAGGGAAACCCGTCCAGAACAACGAAATATGAGAAGGAAACCCCTACAGAAAAATGAAATATGAGAGGGAAACCCGTCCCTAACAGTGAAATATGAGAAGGAAACCAGTCCAGAACGATGAAGTATGAGAGGGAAACCCATCCACAAGAATGAAATATGACAGGGAAACCCGTCCAGAACAACGAAATATGAGAAGGAAACCCCTACAGAAAAATGAAATATGAGAGGGAAACCCGTCCCTAACAATGAAATATGCGAATCAAACCAGTCCAGAACAATTAAGTATGAGAGGGAAACCTGTCCATAACAATGAAATGTAACAGGGAAACCCGTCCAGAACAATGAAATGTGAGGGAAACCCGTCCAGAACAATGAAATATGACAGGGAAACCAATCCAGAACCATGCGATATGACAGGGAAACCGTCCTGAACAATGAAATATGACAGGGAAACCGTCAAGAACAATGAAATATGAGAAGGAAACTTTCCAGAACCATGACATATGACAGGGAAACCCGTCCAGAACAATGATATATGAAAGGGAAACCCGTCCAGATCGATGAAATATGACAGGAAAGCCCGTCCAAAACAATGAAATATGAGAAGGAAACCCGCACGGAACAAGGAAAAATGAGAATGAAACCCGTAAAGAACAATGAAATATAAGAACAAAACCCGTAAAGAACAATGAAATATGAGAACGAAACCCATCAAGAACAATGAAATATGAGAAGGAAACCCGTCCAGAACAATGAAATATGGCCGGGAAACCCGGCCAGAACAATGAAATATGACAGGGAAACCCGTCAAGAACAATGAAAAATGAGAAAGGTGAAAAAACACCGTCCAGAAGAATGAAAAACATGAGAGGGAAACCCTCCAAAAAAACAATGAGTTATAGACGGGAAAGTGTCCAGAACCCAAACGAATATGACAGGGAAAACCGGTCCAGACCATGAAATATCACAGGGAAACCGTCAGAACAATGAAATTGGAGAATAAACCCGTCCAGGAACAAGGAAATTTGAGATGAAACCAGTTAAGAACAAATAAATATGACTAAGAAAACCGTCCAGAACTACGGAAAAAATTATTGGGAAGTAAAACCCGGTCCAGAAACAACGAAATATGAGAGCGGGAACCAGGGTCCCAGAAAACGATGAAGTATGAGAGGGAAACCATCCCACAAGAATGAAAATATGACCAGGGAAAACCCGTCCAGATACAAAACGAAATATGAGGGAAGGAAAAACCCCTACAGGAAAAATGGAAAATTGAGGAGGGAAACCCGTCCATAACAAATGGATATATGTGAAAGCAAACCAGTCCAGAACAATTAAAGTATGAAGGGGAAAACTGTCCATAACAATGAAAATGTACAGGGAAAACCCCGTTCCAGAACAATGAAAAAATGACCAGGGGTATACCCCTTCCAGAACAAAGAAATGTGGACAGGGGAAAACCCGCCAGGAACAATGAAAATATGACAGGGCAACTCATCCAGAACATGCGATATGACAGGGAAACCGGTCTGAAACAATGAATATGACCAGGGAAAACTCGTCAAGAACAATTGAAATATGAGAGGAAACTTTCCAGAACCATGGGACATATGAAGGGAAAAACCCGTCTGAAACAATGATATATGAAAAGGGGAAAAAAAAAAAGCGAAACCGGTCCAGAGCGATGAATTATGAAAGGAAGCCGTCCAGAAACAATGGAAATATGAGGGAAGGAAAAACCGCCGTACGAAACAGGGAAAATGAGAAGTAACCGTAAAGAACCAATTGAATATAAGTAACAAAACCCGTAAAGAAACAATGAAAATTATGAGAACGAAAAACCATCAAGGGAACAAATGAAATATGGAGAAAGGGAAACCCCGTCCAGGAAGGAATTGAATTATGGGCGCGAAACCCGTCAAAAGAACAATGAACA